GAAAATAACAGAGACATGTAATCCAGTTTTCTTTTAATTCTTATACATTCCTAGAGTTGCATTAGACATGCAAAGAACATAATTCAACAGGATAGAGTTAGGATTAGAACTTGCCTTTGAGATTTCGGTTCAAAAATCCCAACGTTGTCTTCTAAGTTTCTCCGGCGAATTAGGAAATCCTCCTCTGTTCCTTCCCTGCCTCCACTGTCGTGAATAAGGTTCTAAAACCCTAGGAAGAACTTAATACCTATATTTATAGGTTTACACAAGACCTAGGTTCAATTCAAACCTTACACTAAATCCTAGTCGGCCCATAGAAAACCCTATTTAAAATCTACGTCGGCCAACATACGTAACTTCTCAAAGAACCCTAAGTACTGAACGTATTTTAAAAACTCATTTAACTTAATTACCTAATTAAAAATTCCTTACAACAGTGAGATCAAAATAAAACAAATAAACAAGTAAGCCAATTAAATACAAATTAAACATATAATTAAATTAAACCAACTAGTCAATTCACACATCACGTAATTTAAATTTCACACATAGCCACATAGGCACCTAAAAATAATGAAATAAATACTGAAAATAATAAAATAAATAATAAAATTTTGATTATATCCCATTTAAAACTAGGGGTATTACAGTTGGGCTATGGCATGGCTTACCTAGAGGGCTTAACCAACGTGCATAGGCAAGGGTTGCACCACTCTAAGGTGGTTGCACAAGAGGGGAACATCCAAATTACCCAAGGTCATATTAGTGTGCATCGGCATGCGCGCACCAGCATACTGCAGGGCGTGCATGGGTGTGCGCGTGGGCGTGCAGCAGTGCGCGCACACAGGTGGGCACCAGCGCGCGCACGGGTGTGCACTCGGGCGCACACAAGCATGCATGGCTTGGCACGCCATGCACCCAGAGGCATTTATATGTGGGTTCAGACTTGTGGGCTTGACTCGGTGTGGCTCATGGACCATGGCTAAGGCCATGACATCCACATATCACTTGGTGGGCAACAGGTGTGCCTATCAAGTAAGGATCCAATCAAACGGAGGCATGTGGGAGTAGTAGGGATATGATCAGTGCCTTATGATCATTTATTCTAGAGAAGCCTTGTGACTTATATTCGGTTATGATAGCATATACATAAATACTAGATGGCTTATGTCAGTTATTGCTGTGGCATGTTGTCATTGGTCAGTTACCTAAAAGTTGGGGGATATCCAACTGAATATATGTATCTATATGTTTGACATAGATAGGTAGTTGTGGGAGAAACTTCTATTTATGTGCTGGACGAGTTTGATTGGGTTAGTTTGGCTAAAAGGTTGAGCTTGTCAACCTTATCTATTGTGTTTTGATACAGACACAGACAGACAAGTTGTAGGCAGTTTTGCAGAGTGCCTATATATTGGGATGCAGGGGGCTTGGATTAGGCAGAGAGAATGTGCATTGCAGTGCATGCAATGAGAGCCTTGGTTCTTTGTACGAATTTGGTTCCTTTGTATTATGTTTAATGAGATCAAAGGTTGGGACTTGGTCCTGTAAACTGTGTGCATGTCTTTATATTTTTGTATTGTGTGTATTGTGTTGTGTGTTGGCTGAGACTTGGTAGCTCCAAGTGCCATTATAGAGGCAAAAATTCATAGAGTGATTTGACCATGTAACAATAAGCTTCAACTATAAGCCAAGATCAAAGAAAACTTTATCACCACTCAAATGATGATGTAGACAATGATGCAAGGTTCAAAGATTGAATCATGTGGATCCCACATCCATAACAGCACATGGTTTTTATGGTGTGATAAAATATTAGATTTGATCTTGGTGTTTGTGCATAATGGTTTGGTGTGTGTGATTAAGCTATTGGTTTGAATCCGGCTGTTTCTTCTTAGCACAGTGCGCTGAATTTTTCTTTGGTTGCAAATTTGTTGTTACTTTCCCTTCAAGGATGGAATGTTGAGATGGTGGACCGCTGTTTTAATCATAGGGATCGTGACCTTATCTGTGATACCCCTTGGATCCGAGACACGGGTTGATCAGGCCCAGGCCCAAACCCGAGGGAATATCAAACAATTAATATTTTATAATGAACACGGAATACAAAATAAATTAAGAAATGAAATTAAAGCTGGAAGGAACTAAAAATAGAATCCGCAAAATATTATAATTATTAAAATCCATCAAACCCAAACTCCAAAACTCCATCAGTTTACAACTTGGGAATCCATCTCTAGTGGACCCCTATTAAACATCCAAACGAAAGATAGAACAACTGTAATAAACGTCAAGAAATAAAACTATAGAGAGAGCCCTACATTGTCGGAAGAGTGAATAGAGACCTCTACTCAGCACGAACACGTCTAAGCCTGTAATTGTCGTGTATCTGAAAAATAGAAGTGGGTCAGGCCCACGCACAAGTTCTATACTACTACAATCCAAACAGAGGCCCGATACGCATGTACATCCTAAACAATTCAACAATAGCTGATAGTCCGTAAATATATATATAGTCACACTAAAGGACTCTCACTGGACTACAGGCCGGTCTCAACCTGAATAGAGGTAACATGCTAAAACGCACACGAAGTGGGCATATGTACCTATACCTAAATAGGGTACACCTCCAACCATCGTAGCCAGCTACACATCCCGATGCATATACGCTCCCTAGCCATCGGTCCTGAGGCTCAAGCTCATATCGAGGCACCATAACAGTATATATATAAAATCCATCCAAAATCCCTGGTATTGCCGCTCAACAAGTAGTTGCCATGACAATACAAATCCACGGGACTTAACTTTTAGTTAATCCCATCCTTATTCCAAGTAGGTGGGTAATGGTATTGTTTTAAAAACTAAACCCATCCTTAATATGCCACCGTCTCATACCGGTGCCTACGTTCCAATCCTCCAGTAGTCAATAATACCAATAAATCAAGTATATATCAACTAAATTCCAACATCCAACATTCAATGTTAGCAGTGATAAAATAAGCATTGATAAACAGGGTCACAACAACAACATATACATGCCCAATTTAAGTTGTTCCCTTTAGTCTGATATAAAGACAGAATTAATTAAAACTTCCATTTAACACCTTACAAATGACATACAGATATGTAGGGTATGTATCACAAAATCCTAACCTCCACAGTTGATACTAACTGTGATAATGTAAGCATCAAAACAATATTCACAGTATGTATGTAGACATGCTCAAATTATAGTGTTCCACAAAACCGATCTAGTGTTAAACTCAAATCCTCCTAGTATTTAAGTTCCAATAGTTGCTATTACAGAAGTTAAGATAGCTATCATCTAGACCCATCTTTCCAATAATTTATACTAGCAGTGGTAAGGAAAAACGTGAACCACAGAACCACAATGCATCCACAAACATGCTTAGTCTAGGTTGAACAAGCATACAACACTACTGTAACTACCAGTTTCATAGCAAAACAGATATCATTTTAGTTTGGTTTAATCTTCATTAATCCTGGAATCATTTAAGAGTGCAAAGAGTATGAAGCCTAAGGGAAAGAGTAAGGATAGAATCTTGCCTCAGAAACTTTTGTTCAAAGTTTCAACGTCGTCTTCTTAAAAAATCCTGGCGAGTTCCAAAACCCGGTTACTGTTCACTGGTACGAAACACTATTCCCGAACTCAAAATCTGATCTTCACCGTTCACATTGTGCAACACTGAGTCATGAACCTATCCTCCAAATTTCAGCTTGATCGGACCACGGACGAAGCAGGATCGGATATTTGATGAAATCTGGGCAGAATGGAAAAAAAACCTGTGCGACCCAGTTACTGTTCACGAGTACGAATCACTGTTCCCGAGGTCAAACTCTAATCTTCACCATTAAGATTTGTGTCACTGAGTCATGAACATCTCTTCCAAAATTCAGCTCGATCGGACCATGGATGAAGCGGGATCGGATGTTTGATGAAATCTGGGCAGAATGGAAAAAAACCTTTGCGACCCAGTTACTATTCACGAGTACGAATCACTGTTTCCGAGGTCAAACTCTGATCTCCACCGTTCAGATTGTGCGTCACTGAGTTGTAAACCCCTTCTCCAAAATTCAGCTCGATCGGACCACGGACGAAGCGGGATCGAAGTTTTGATCAAACCTTGGCAGAATGTGAAAAACTGCATTTTTCCTTCTCCACTTCCACAAAACGTGTGCTTTGTTTAAAAAAACCCTACACAGACGTCTACCTTATACTTATAGAGTTTTCCTAAACCCTAGGTTCATTTAAGTCCAACTCACAATCCTAACCAGCCCATCCAATTAACGTAGAAACCTACGACGGTTATGATATAAAACCCTAATTTATACTGTAATAAAAACCCTAGTTAGATGTATTTACCTAATTACCCTATTCACCATTAAATACTTAACAAATAATCTAATTGAACAAAATAATAATTAGTAAACCCAATTAAACCAAATAAGACACACATAAAATAAGATACACATAGAATAATTAAACCAATTACACTTAAACCATTAATGCCAATTAAATAATTAAAATACTAACAAGTAATTCCAATCAAATAACTAAACCAATTACACTTAAACCATTAATGCCAATTAAATAATTAAAACACTAACAAGTAATTCCAATCAAATAACTAAAAATAAATATCATTTAAATAAATTAAATCACCACAAAAGAAAACAATTAAGCACCTAATAAAAAAAATAATGACACATAATCAAATAAAATGCACTTAAATAATAAATTAAATACCATTAAATACCAGGAATATCCTTTTTAAAATTAGGGGTATTACATTATCCTTCAAATCCCATTGAGTTATTTTCGGCGGAGGGATCATAAGGTCTGGGGTGCCTTTTTGTATGGTGGTTTTTCTGTCAAAAGTGCCTATTAAATTGCCTTCTCTCTTCTTTACCATTCACCGTCTATCCCCTCGGAGACTAGTTCTAGCTTTGATGTCATTTTTGGCATTATGTGGCGTGACATGTGGAAAATTCAGGCTCATCGTAAGATCATCCTATTTTTATGGCAGTGTATGCATGATCGTATTCCGGTTAATTCCCAGCTTGGGATTCGGGGTGTTTCTTCTTCTCCTGAATGTCCTCTTTATGCTTTGGAGGTGGAAACTATAGATCATCTTCTATATTCTTGCGCTTTTGCTCGTTTGGTTTGGAAATTATGTCCGCTTCAGATTGATTTCTCTTCTTCAGCTCTGACTATGTGGAAAAAAAATGGTTTGATTTATGTGCCCGTTGGACGCCATATGCTGTTTCAGCTGATTGTACGAGTTTGGCGGCGTTTGTCTGTTAGTTTATTTGGAAGTGCCGGAATGATTTCGTTTTTTAGCGGAAACATTGGGATCCTTTTGATGTGGCACTTCATGTATTCGCTGCCTTTCAGGAGTTTCAGGAGGTTACCCGTCAAAAAATCTTCTTTTGTTGCCGGTTCCTTCTGTTCCGGTCCCTATTGCAGTGTGGACTACCCCAGCTTTTGGTTGTTTTAAACTGAATTTTGATGCGGCTTTTAATTCGTCTTGTCATTTTTGTGGGGGTGGGGCGATTCTTCGAGACCACCTGGGTCGGCCTGTTAAAGTTGCTTCTTTTTTCATGCTGAATGTGTCTTCTCCTTCGTTGGCTGAATCTCTGTTTTCAGGGCCTTTCTCTTACTTCTGCATTGTTGGGGTTACAGGAATGTGTTGGTTGAAGGTGATTGTCAATCTGTTATGCAATTGCAAGTCTCAATGGAGGGTCAGGTGATGATTTTTCATGATATTTGTTCTTTGCTTTCTCTTTGTTTTGGTTTATCTCTTGTTTGGGTTCCTCGTGGAGGACATGATATAACTCATCTTTTGAGCAAGAAGACTCTTGAAGCCGAGTGTGGTGATTTAGAGTAGAGCATATGACCCTCGTGGTTGTTAAATGCTCTTCTCCCTTCGTGTTCTTTTTCTTAATCTATGCTATGTTCTGTTTGTTGTCAAAAAAAAAAAAAAAAAAGAAAAAAAAAAAAGAAAAAAAGGCTATTGCTAAAATTAGCTTAACATGTGATCAAATAGGCATACTTATTAAGGTTATGTGTAGAGACATTATTTTAGCAGTGGTTGCTCATTATATAAATGCAATATATAATGGAGTTCCAACAATAAAGTCTGACAATCCACTTCTTAAATCTGACACTCTAATTTGTAAGTTTAAATATTAAAAAATGTAAGCTGTCTCAAATTTTTAATTTTTTTAATTTAACAAAGTGTTAACATCATCTTTCCACAGGGCAAATTGCATAAAACTCTCATTCACTTTCAATTTTTTTAACAGAATGCCTTACAATTATTTATTTATTTATTTATTTTTTTTAAATATCCTAAACTATCCAATTGTTTTAAAGTGATGTTATAATGATAAAATTTGTTCATTGGTGTCCATTAATATGACTAAAATTAATAAAAATAACTCATTTGGCATACTGTTATTAAAAACAAAAATGAAAATCATTTTAAATAAAATCTAATTTTTTAACATTTAAATTAAGAGGCATTATCGTTATTATAACATCACTTTAATAGTTTGTATTTTTTTAAAAATTTTAAAGTTCTATTTTTAAAGATATATTTTTTTTAGTTTATATTAAGGGACATTTTTATAATTATAATATTAAAATTTTTGTTATTATAACACCACTTTAATAGTTTGTATTTTTAATTTTTTTTAAAGTTCTATTTTTAAAAAAAAATTATATTAAGGGACCTTTTTGTCATTATAGCACTAACATTTTAGTTTTTAGAACATTACTTTGTAACAATTGCATATTCAGGAGTTTTAGGTAATTTTTTTTTTTAAAAGATGAATTGATGCCAAAAATTAAAAGTAGAGGGAGTTTTTATGCAATTTGCCCCTTCCTATATTTTTTTTTCCTAAATTTTTTTATTTGAGTAACTATAAGGCGTGGTCAATATGAAGTTTTAATATATTGATTTTTCTTTTGTGTTGGCTATAGATCTTTCTCCAGAGGAGAAAAAATTTCTTGCAACAAGCTTGTTGCACCGTATAACGAGTGCATTCGAACCGCAATAATAAACTATTGGAATATAGCCATTGCATGATTGAATGGGCACAAAGTAATTTTTCTCCCTCAAGAGGTTGAGTTTGTCAAGCTGTCTTCAAATTACATGGTGTTCCAAAAAAGAATACAAGTTCACTTTGAGGCGTACAAGTCACCTTTGGTACGATTGACAAAGTTTGACATAGTTCGTAGGATTGACAAAGTTTGACACAATTTGTGAATACGATTCGAATATGTATATTTTTTTTATGTATTGTTAAGAAACTCACACACTTACGTGTCTAATTCGAACATTTAATTTTTACTTTAAAAGACGAGGGAGATTTTAGTTTGATAATGGAAAAAAAGAGGAGTTTTCAAGAGAAGTAACTCTCATTTGCCTTGATAAAGGAGAATTAATTTTCAAGAGATCTAAAAACATTCCACCAGTTGGGTATTGTACAATAAATATACGTGGTATCATATAGCTTTTTCAAAGTCTCCTCCAATAAATAGAGTACAATAAATAATCTTGTTAGCTTTTGAAAAAAAAGAAAAAAAAAAAAGATAAAGAAAAAGAAAAGAAAAAAAAGAAAAAAAAAATGATTATCTCTTTTTAAGTGTTTATCTTAATTATTAATCACCAACTCTATTATTACTTGGGATTGGCATGTCCACAATCACAAGAAAGACTTTTTGTACTGATATACTATTTCATTTCTGACATTAACCAATTATACTTTATTACATAAATAAAAATATTTTATTTTATTAAATCCTATCTCTACAAATTAATATTTATTTAGTAGATCCTATCACTAGTAAGCTAATAGTAAGCAGTAAAGTATTTCTTACACAGATGTGAATTAAATTGAGAATTTTATCAAAGCCCCATAAGCCCATGAATAAGGCCCAATTAAGATGGCAAAAAGCATTTCTTACACAGTTGTTAATTAAATCAAGAATTTTATCAAAGCCCCATAAGCCCATGAATAAGGCCCAATTAAGATGCATTCTACAAGTCTTTGCCTCGGCCCATAGCAGGAACAGTCTTATTCTCCTGGTCTGAAGCACTACCTGATTCTCTCACGTAAAACCCTTTCCCTTCCTTCAGTGTAGTGTTAGTTACATTGGGCACACCAGCTAGGGTTCCAAGCTCCATTTTCATTTGCAAGATCAGCATCAACAGTAGGGTTTCAAACCCTCGAAGATCAAAATAGTCCGACGAATAACCCTAGAGAGAGAGAATCGAGGAGCAATGTCGTTTATGCAACAGTTTGGGCGGGCAAAGAATGTGGCGAACCGATCCAAGAAGTACTTGGAAGAAGCACTGTACAAGAGGCTGTTCAAGGATGGTAGCTCTGAGGTCAGTGTCAGACAACAGCTCAATCAATTCCTCAAGAGCTCCAAAAGAGTCTACAAATGGGAGGTTTGTAAAACCCTCAGGACCCTTCGCAGCCGCAACCGTTACTATCCCGCTTTAAAGGTTTTTCCACAACCTTACTACACAAATGGATATATATATATATATGCAGCTCATATTTGTTTTCAAGTTTTTCTTGTTCTCTGAATTTAAATTTTGGATTTTTAGTTTATATGAATTGATAATTTGACATTTGTGGTTGGATGAGGCAAAATGTGATTCAAATACTTGTTAACGGAGTGTAAAAATGATTTCCTTTGAACACAATGAAGTAGAAATTCCAATATAGTAAGCTAATTATGGGTTGGAATTAAGATGTTTTGGTGGATATAGACATGGTGTGGATTTGATTATTGAATTCAGGTGCCAAGAAGATTAGCTCTTCTTATAATATTTAAGACCGTAGTGGTGAGAAGTGGAAGAGGGGAAGCTGATGAGGAGAAGTTATGTGCATCATTGTTAGGGAAATTTGAAGTCAAGCTGTAGTGGTGATTGGTATTCAGAAGCTTCTTTTACTTGGAAAGGTATTTGGGATACAAAACCCTTCTCCAAGGTACCTTTTTTTTTTTTTTTTTTGCCTATTCTGCAGCCGAAGGAAGAAGATCTTAACCATTGATAGTTTGGTAAAGGGAGGCAAAATTTTACCAAATTACTAATGGATTTGCTTGGAGCAGAGTGGGTGTTTCATTGTCTCTAAGCCATGTTGAGGTTTCCATTGTCCCTAAAGGCAATTCGATTATTTGCAAGGCCAGTACATTTTTAGTTTGTTTTCCTTATGGTTCATCACAGTTGTTCTCTAGTCACTTTGTTTGAAACTCTGTTACATGGACTCTTCAAAGATACGTGGAATATCCATGTTGGACTGAATACACTCGGACAGGGGTAAGGAATATGTTTGACACACATTTGGTTGGTTTTATATTTAGAAATGATATCATATAATTCAATTTTATGATATTGTTGCTTCAAAACAAGTTAAATGCCTATTTTGAACACTATGTCACATAACAATGTTGTTTCTCTAAAACGTAAGGAAAAATATTTAATAATATGAATATTTAGCAGTGTCCCTGTATTATTCTAATTGGGGATTTGATACATTCGATGCTTGGTCACATACCCGTACCTGAGTCCAGGTAACATAGGCTTGAAATTCTTTTATAAACATGGTTAACTTTGATGAACCAAATATTCATGGGACTTGGGAAAGGATAATATCTTGTTGTTTTTCTTATCAAAATAAAATAATAATAATAATAATAATAATAATAATATGTTGTTGTTTTACTTAAATGAAATTTTCTTCTGTTGCTCTTGAGATAAGGCTTTTGTTTAATAAATTGGTAGATGTTTGGTGCATCAAGAATAGGAAATGCGGTTTAAGTTTAAGAGTAGTCATTTTGTGCATGTAATGTTAGAGATTAGTTTTGTGTCCATACTGCCTTCCAGCAGCCACATTTGCTGGACCAATATTTGGTGATGACCTTTCATTTATGGGTTTAGAATTCGCATACATAAGAAAGTTTATTCCAATATATTGTCTAATTTTGTCTGGAAAATAATTTTAATATATATTATGTGAACATTATATAAAGGATCTTGTTTTAATTGAAAAATGTCTTACTTGAGCCACATCGTATACCTTTATATTATTTTTATTTATTTATTTTTTCCTCGAGGTTCTAGGTGGATAAAGTACACTAGGTAGTTGTGATTTAGAAAGAATGCAATTAAATTTTATGCTTGGGTTGAAAGGTCATCCAGAATGAACTGATGCATCTCTGGTATATTAGGTCATGGGAGATTATATGAATTTTATGCTGGCGCTATTGACTGTGGTGTTTGTATAGTGTGCATTGTTGGTTGGTGTGTTGCACTTCTTGTTCTATTTTAAGTTCACTAGATGTCGGTTCTGGTTTATATATTCTTGAATCATATTGTTCTGTAACATAATTTATTATCTTGAGTGGTAAAGTAGTGTTTTTAAGTGATAAGGATTCTGGAGCATTGCTGTTTTAGGTGTATGTATGCCAAAATTAATATGAGTGCCTTGAAGTCTTGATCTGAACCTACCCTTTCTTATATTTATCCCTTCGCTGGCTTGCCAAAAACCCATGCATCATCTCCTTCCGTGATTTATACGAGCCAAAGTTCCAAAGATGTTGAATAAACTTTTATTCTCTAGTTCCAAAGATGTTGAATAAACTTTTATTCTCTAGTTCATCTAGGCTTGTTGACCTGTTAATTTAATATTAAAATCAGTTGCTGGCTCAGGACACTTGAGTGTTTTGCTGAGTGTTTTTTTATTCTTTCTTGGTTTCTACTTGTTTTGTCTCCTAACATTCTGTTTTCCTCCTTCTGATGAGCTCGTTGGTACTAACTTGTACTTTGAGACCTGCACAACTAAATATGTTGGTTTTGATTTACAGCTATCTGAATCTATGGAGAGAAAAAAGGGCATGAACAAGACAGTCAGCGATCAAGCAATACATCTTGATCTTGTTGCCAAAACTCGAGGTATTTCTGCTGCGGAAACTTACTTTATTGGTCTGCCGGAAACATCAAAGAACCATCTCACTTATGGTACTCTTCTGAACTGTTACTGCAAGGAATTAATGACGGAAAAAGCAGAAACTTTAATGGAAAAGATGAAAGAACTTAAGTTAGCTTCAAGTCCTATGTGTTATAACAGCCTGATGACCCTCTACACAAAAACTGGCCAGCCAGAAATGATCACAGGCATCATCCAAGAAATGAAGGCCTGCGATGTCATGCCAGATTCTTACACCTATAATGTCTGGATGAGGGCTCTTGCAGCTAAGAGTGATATTTCTGGGGTCGAAAGGGTTATTGATGAGATGAAGAGGGATGGCCGAGTTGTGGGTGATTGGACAACTTATAGCAATTTAGCATCAATTTATGTTAATGCAGGCATGTTTGAGAAGGCAGAGAAGGCACTCAAGGAATTGGAGAAGAGAAATTCCAGCCGAGATCTTTCCGTTTTCCAGTTTCTTATTACATTGTATGGCCGAACAGGCAATCTGCTTGAAGTTTATCGGGTATGGCGTTCTTTGAGGCTGGCTTTTCGTAAAACTGCAAATATAAGCTATCTGAATATGATTCAAGTGTTGGTTAACTTAAAAGATTTACCAGGTGCTGAGAAATGTTTCAGGGAATGGGAATGTGGGTGCTCAACTTATGATATTAGGGTTGCGAATGTCCTTATAGGAGCTTATGTTAAAGGGGGTTTATTAGAGAAAGCTGAAGAGCTCAAGGAGCGGGCCCGGAGGAGAGGGGGCAAGGCTAATGCTAAAACTTGGGAGATCTTTTTGGATTATTATTTGAAAAATGGGGAATTTAAACCAGCGGCTGATTGTGTTGAGAAAGCAATATCCATTGGTAGAGGGGATGGCAAGAAATGGGTCCCATCACCTGAGATTATTGGGAATATGATGCGGCATTTTGAGCAAAACAAAGATGTGGAGGGTGCAGAAAGTTTTCTGGAAATCCTGAAAAAGGCTGTGGATGAGGTTGGGGAGGAGGTGTTTCAGTCATTGATTAGAACTTATGCAGCAGCAGGAAAGACAAATCCTATAATGCGTCGCCGGCTGAAGATGGAGAATGTGGAGTTGAGCGAGGAAGGTAAGAAGTTGCTTGATGTGGTGTGCGTGGAATGAGTTTTGTCCATTTCTCATTTTCTTCTCAAAATTTTAAAATCTTGACAGATGAATCAAAATGGTTTATTTACTATTCTGTTTTAATAATGAAATGGCCCCCTTTTGACTTATCCTCGAGAAGTTATATTGTGTACTTGTCCTTGACTATCCCATGGATTCCGTGGTTTGGATTGTTGCAATTTCTGTTAAATATGTCCCATTTATTTATTGAAATTATACTGTTCATGAGGATTAATTTTTGTATTCAAAGGCATTTGTGTGGAATAATTATAGTTCCAGTTTGGGTAATTAGATGGTGAATTGGGTTTGCCATGAATCAATAATCCAGTCTTGTTACCCAGCAAGTGTTGTCAAGCTGATTGCACGACTAACTCTGATTCTAAATGGATTCTTGAATACTTCTTTCATCTGTTGCGAATATCCAGAAAGAATAGAGTTCCTGTTTATTTGTTTGTTTCAGTAATTTAGATCTGTTAGAATCTTCGCATAACTTTCAAGTATCTGAACTGCTCAACTTTACCACTGTGGTTGCAAATTTTACTTGTGATTTGCATTACTGGGCGTGCAATTGCTCTTGTTTGGTTCCTGATCAGAGTATACTAACTGGCAATGCAGTCAAGCATATGCCGTTGACTCGCTTTTATGCATCTGGTACTCGTATTTTTTCTACTGTCCCATTATCAGATTAGTTTGTGACTTTGTGTAACTCCTCGGTTGGATTCTACTGGGCTTATTGGTGATTTTGGGGTGATTCTAAGTCAGCTTAGCCAAGTCACTAGTGAGTGCTCTATAGAATTGAAGAAAAGAGAAGAAAGAAGTCCTAGTGAGTGTTAAAAGTACCAAGAGCCATGGGCATGCAAAGATACGGTGGTCCAGTGGGGGATCGAATGTAGTCTCCAGTGTATGGCTGTTGATATGTTTTTTTGATGTATTTCTCTCTGAAGCAGAAATATCTCCTTTTGTTTCCGAATTTCTGAATTATTGTATTGCTGTTGTGGCCTGTGAATTCTGATAATGCACGGCGAGTTACTTTGGTTCTGCAAGTGCTTGAACTGTGACGGATAGCAACACAAGACTGTAGAATGCAACGACAAGTGCTGATACTAGATGGTGTGATCGATTTTTTAAGACCTACAGTATAAAGGTAAATGATCTCTCTAATTTTTTGTTTTGTTTTTTGTTTTGTCCTCTTCTCATACGTTACCATTTCCATACAATTTTATTTTTGGCATTCACAATGATTGTATAACACCGCTCATGTTTCTTTATTAGCTGCTTTGTTGTTGTTGTTGTTGTTTTTTTTTTTTTTTATCCCTTTGCCTTTAAAGTTTAAAGTTTAAACTGTTTATTTATTTATTTTATTTATTTAAAATGAGATGGAAGCTCTATTTTGGTTGTTGGGGTTGGGGGAAGGCCTGAGATATTATGTACTGGGTAGTGATTTCTTGATCCATATTCATCAATAGGTGGGGCCTATTACATTGACCGCCACTCTGGCAGCCCTGCTGTAGCTTTCCAATTAGCTTGCATTCTCATGGACATAAATAAATGGTGAAATTATAGCCTTCTTTGGTCATAGCTTTTTTTATTTTTTATTTTTTAATGTTATTTTGGAAAAATAGAAGTCATTGGTTGGTTATAGAAGGTAATTGTTTGGATTTTTTTTTTTTTGGGTGAATAGATGTTTGGATTTTTAAAATATGAGTCTGTGAATGCCAAGAACAATCACTTTCTGCAATTAAACCCGCAGGGTAGGTTTTTTGCCTCTTTATCTAGGATTCTCTCTCTGGAATTAAAAGGAAATGAGTGCTAAACTCCTTTATGGACGATGCCCAAATCTAAGATGTGAAGGAAATTACAATTTTTTGTTCTTCTTTTCTCGATCCTATATTACATGACGGATCAATACAAATATACTCCAACACTCCACCTTTGTTATATATTTCTATTGGGTCGATCACTACATGTTTAAATTAATTTTTTTTTAAAATTTTTGTATATTGGATGGTTACGAGCTGATTTGAGCGAGACAGAATGGGGCGGATTTGAGGAGAAAGTTTTATCTTGTCCACAATGGTTCAGATGAGAACCTAACTATGGAGGAATAAATTTAACATGAGAGCCCATTTTGCAGTGTCTAGTATTCACTCGTTGCCAGATTGTGATGAATCATATGAAGTGGCACAAAATAATGCGACAATAACGTATCAACCATAAGTCCCAGAAAATAAGGTCCACAGTGAAATTAAAAAAAAAAAAATATGATGATTAGATTGAGAACTGATTTCAAAGATCTACGATATCTAATTTTCGGAATTCTCTAACCATTAAATTATTAGGTGGATTTCTTTCATAGCTGAAATATTGGAGGGTACAGTATGTATTCTAAAATTTTTCGACACCATTCATAAACAATGGTATATTTAGTATTTATTTCCCAAATTTATACTACTTTTAAAAGCAGTATATTTAATCGATCATCTATAAGAAAACAAAAAAAAAAAATTGAAAATACAAGAATAAGCAAACCCAAAAAGTGACTGAAGATACAAAAAAAAAAAAAAATCCATATCACTCGAAATTTTTTTATAAAAATAAAAGAAAATAAAAACTTAAATTTGCAACCATGTACTCCTTTTTTTTTTAAAACTTTAGGGACATCTGGCATTTCTTCCAGGCCCTCCATAATAAAAATAATTACCCCAAACCCTATTAGCCCATCTCTGTATGCTGTAACAATTTGGATGATCTGCTAATACCCTGAAATTTGAGAGTGGAATTAAATTGTTACCCCAATCAACAACTTGGAGATTTCGAAAATAAGATGCTTTTCTGAAACCATCCCCAGCGAAATGTCCACTGCCCATTTGGGTGGTTGTGTGAACACCAGATGGTCTAGTGTTCACTATTTCTCCACCAAATTGCACCATGCTTGCATGACTTCTCAAGTGTGTGAACAAAAATGATGGCCAATAACCAACCAGGATCCCCGACCCAAACTCGAGCCACCAATGTCCGTGCTTTGGATCCTACAAAACCACATATTGAGTTAAACATGTTGTAATTTTGAAGTCTAGCATGGTTTCACAGTGAAAAGGTACGAATTCAAACTACTACTCTTTTTTTTATCTATTCACATAAAATATCTATATTGACCAATTTGAATATTGAAATTGCCCTTTGACATGTAATGAATTGACATTATTGCCCTTTGACCTTTATATTGACCAATTTGAATATTGAAATTATCTTTCTAACCTTGTACGATATTTATAAAAATAATTAATCATGAGACCCATTTCTTTCCTTCTCTCCTCTCTCTGTTCTCTCTTTTCCTCCTCTTGCCGCCCTAACACCATTCGTCCTTTTTCCCACGACATCGCCAACACTAATTCCATCAAACCACCACCTCTTCATCCTTCAATTTCTTCTCTTTAACACACACACACACACACATATATGTATACAGACACGTACATATTTATATCCACACAGCACAAGGAGGCGGTGACGACGACGATGATGGCGATCTGTCGTCAAGGATGAATCGTACCGGTTATTCAGATAATGATGAAGAACTAGAGGCCTTCGGTTTGGCTTGGTCGGTTTCGTCTTCCGTTTCGGCGATGGCAGCTCCGACGTCACCCTCATCAACTACCATGATGGCCAAGAAGCCATAGAAGGTCTCGATGTTCTTGTCGGACTCGACGACCACCACGGTCTCGCCTTTGGAGTACTTGTTGCACTAGCTGAGCATAGATTTAAGGGCCAAATTGGGGATTACTGTTGTGGGTTGTGGTAAGGGTGGAGTCGTGGAGATTGTGGTGGTGAGTGGAAAGAGAGAGAAAAGGGGTTGGGCGGTGGTGATGGCGATGGTGGGTGGAGTTGGGGCAGCAAGAAGAGGAAGAGAAAAAATAGAGAGAGGAGAAAGAAAGGGGTTATGAATGGGTTTCTTATTTTAATTGACGTGGCAAAATCTTCACCGTTGGATGACGTACATGTTATTAGGGGAGAAAACTATCCAGACGGAGGAGCTAGATCCACACACACGCACATATATATATAAACCATCACTTCCAAACACCGTGGGTTTGGTGATGGATTTGAGAGGCGATGACTGTTCGTTTGTTGCGGGTTTGGTGGTGGGTTTGAGAAGCGATGGTTCGTTTGATGTGGTTTTTTTGGTTTGTGGGTTTTCTGCTTTGCTCATTTGCTGGGTTTTCTGTGATGGTGGTGGTTGTGTCTGGGTTTAGTATGTCAAAGTGAGAGGGGGTGATATACTAAGGGCAAAAATGTTATTTAAAAGTTATGATATGTTATAATTTAAATTAATAGGGCAATATTGACTTTTCATAATTTAAGGGCTTGTTTGGATTCATTTTTTGACAAGGGTGTGTCTTTGTCTAAAAAAGACTCAACTTGTATATGGCTGTCCTTATAGCAAATCTCATGGGGTGTCGATGTACTTTACCCTTTTAAGTTATTATGGGAAATATATTAGGTGTTGCTAACTTTTCTTGAGATTTTGAAAGTAGAATTCTTTAGTAGATAAGCATGAGCTTAATTTCCATACTAGAGAATATGACATTAGGAGAAATATGTTAGAAGAAAATGTATATATAACATGGTTCGAAGTTGCGGTATCAATCGCGATCGAGGTATATCGGATTCGAGTGAATATCGGTGTAAACTGATCGAACCGACCGATTTATGTAAGTGTGTAATAATATTAGCTTCTTGAAAAAAAGTTACGAATCAAACAACACATCTACGGTAAACCATTATTATTTATACACATGTAACAAAGTGGATGCACCCTTTTGCTTGAAAAAGAAGAGAATTTTTTGCATCAAACATTACATGTTTAGGAAAATGATTAGGATCACAATGTCCACTTTAGGAAAAGTGTTATGATGATCACAATATCCAGTCATTAATTTACAAATATTTTATCTGTACAGAACTATAGATATCTCTCTCTCTATATATATATTGTTGGGACCCACCAACCATGTATATATCAAAATCCTGGTTTACAAATTACATGTCACACTTGTAGATTGCACAAACATTCGAGTGAATATGAGTTTTTAAGAACTAGATTTGTCTTTTTCCCCATTTTAATAATGCAAACAAAGTTTACTAACTAACGGTAAAAACGGTTCACATTTCAAAATCTACACAGAATTGGCAGTCTTCTTCTTTCAGTTTACCCGCTAGTTACTTCTCACTAGTTTGCAAAAGAAAAAAAAAAACCCTAAAGTTTATAAAGAGGTAAGTGAATGTGGTATAAAAATCTTACTCACACACATATATATATCTTCGAAGTATGCTATCAAGTTATCTTGTTTTTCTAGTTATTCTTAATTTTAGTTTTCAATGAAATTGAGGGAGGGAAAAAAAAAAAATTGGAACATTCAATTTTATCAACACACCAAAAAATAAAAAATAAAAAAATAATCATGGGAATTCAAATATTACCTTCCATATCAATAAGCTGATATCGAACTGTCTACGATTGTAGGACGAAATTGGAGAAATTGCTGCCCCAACCGCGATCCTACTGTTAGTCTGAACAAAACCGGAGCATAGCAAATTGTAGCATCCAGTCGATTGATATGCATCAGTCTGTAAACTATTTTACAGTTAGTTATAAAATCATATAAGCAATTATTATTATTTCTGCAGCCATAAAAATGAATGATTATTTATCAAAATCTACATTCCCATATATATATATATATATATATAATTAAAAATTAGGGTTAATGTAAGAGAACTTACTGTCCAGTAAGTGAAGAATCTGGGACGGTAGTCCCCATACAGCTCTGGGCTAACCTGTAAACAATGAATGATTTAGCATCTATGGCTACATACAACCATTCAATGATTTTTTTCTACAGGTGGTTGAGATATAATTATTGCTTTAAATGGCCACAACATACATTAATTTGTAGTGTCTTTTAAGTATCACATTGCAATCCTTTCTTATTGTAATAGCTACTGTACAGCATTGAAATCATGTAACCGGATTTTAAAGTCAACTTAATACAAATTAAAATTTCAAAAAGAAAATAATAATCTAAAAATTAAAAATTTCCCCCAAAAAAAAAAAAGAAAAAAAAAAAAAAAAAAAGACCACCTTGAAATAGAAGGTTAGTTGCAAAATAACTTCATAATATCAACTTTTGCAACTCTCTCAAAATTAAATATACTCTAAAGAAATTCATGCCTCTGAGAAATATATATATATATATATATATATATATATATAGGGATTCATTGGTTTTTCTCTGACTATTATACCAAATATGCTTGTTATGGTAATTGGATTGATGTTTGATGCAAAGAAGGTGACACTTGTGCAGTTCGAGTACAAATTCAATTCCTTAGCAGAAAAATATATGAGATAACATGAAAGTTATATCAGAAAATTACAAAACAAAATAAAAAAAATACCTGCCAACCAGCTTCAATGGTGTTAAGATCTTCACCAAATGAACCAGAGATCACCCACATTTGTGATAAGCTGAATTCATATTGATTAGTAACTCTGGGTGCCCACACATTTATACCGGCTTTCGCTCCATAATACTGATTTCCAGTTACATACCCAACTGCATGCTGTAAACAATAAGCATATAATCCATCTCTGTGTAAGTGTTTTAGTACTTTAATAAGCATATATGGCATGTAGTTCTATTTTCAATGTAACATACCTCATGGCCATTGCTGGAAGAGTCTCTGCGAATAGGTCTTCGCAGATTTCTTCCGAATCTTTGCGGTTTTCTTCCGAATCTTCTAACGGAACTAGCTCTTAGAACATCTTTATCACTTGTTCTTCTAATTGGGATTGTTCCTTCTGGACATGATTCATTAGACATAGTCCACAGCTGCAAATTTTCCAATGTCGTGCTTATTGGTTTATTCCCTTTTGGTCTCTCCGGTGGATCCTATATATTGAATTCATAAAAATGTCCATCATTTTAGAACCATAAATTTTGATTTCTAGACTCCAAAAACATGAACTTCAAAAACCCCAAAAGAATTCAAATTGATATGTAGTCAAATTCAGATACCATTGGTTTTTGCCCTTTTAATTGAGGATGATCAAAAGCTGGTTGTTGACGAGATACTACACAATCTATCAGATCACCATCAGGACTCTGCACCAAGAAAACAATATGTTATAAAACCGCAATCTTCAGAAGAGAATACGAAATGTTTAAAGCAAAGTGTGCACATTAGACCTGAATTGTCTTGACAGAAGGCTTATTGATCTTCTTGAGATGAGCTCTAATGATCTTCAACTTCTTGAACCCTTTGCTTCGATGGTGAGTGTGATTGGAATGATGATGGTGATGACCAGATTTTGATGACAGGACTGGACAGACAGAGGAAATGACAAAGAGCAAGCAAACAAAAGTGGGAATGATTGGGGAGATCTTGAAACAACTAGAAGCCATGTTTGAGGAATTTTGTGATTTGTGTATTGTGTGTTGTGTGTGTGTTTTTTTTTTATTCTACTACAACTTGTATGTGTTTGTTGTGTACATTGGTGGTCTCTTCTTCTTTGATCAAAATAACACTAGTGACTCCTAGTTTTTTTCCATGAAAGCAGACCTTTGAACAAATCCTACACTGATTAACCATTCTAAGAAAAAAAAAAAAAAAAAAAAAAAAAAAAAAAAATCCAAATTCACTTTCTCACTTTCCAAAAGCTCCAGAAACCCAGACTTTCCAAGTGCCCACTTGGTTTATGTCTTGACACATACAACTAAGCTAATAAAAGAGAACAAAAAAATGGGTTGTGTGTGCTTTCTAGAGTTTCACCCCATGTGGGTTGAAATAAGTAATGGGTTGTGATGGAAACATGCACTAGTTTTAAATTTTTGAAAGAAAAAGTTGTGTGTGTGAGAGAGAGAGAGAGAGAGAGGGGTTTGGATGGTGGAATGTCTCCAATCTCCAGTACAAGGACTGGAACTTTAGCTTTTGTGTCAATTTTTATAGGCGTAATGGGAAATGAAATTATTATTTTTCTTTTTCTATTATTCTTTACTTTGCCTTTAGAGACAGATACGAATTAATTTTGATTCTGGGATCAGAAAGTTCTTTGCTTTGGGTGTTTTCTTCCTGAGATGGTCCTTGTTAACTGCCCTGTGCTTTTCTCTCTCCGTTTCGGGTACAATGAGTTATAATTAGCTTTAATGCTTGTTTGGCCTGTAAAAATGGTCGGTTCCGATGAAACCGAATGGGCGTGCCGGGAACTGCTATAATTTCAAAGAAAGATTCAAACAATATTTCAGATGGAAGATTGCAAGACCAGGCGATTGTAAAGAGGTCTGGAATGAACACCTCAGGGTTCTTTTTGCCTTCGAGAAAGGACTTCGGGATTGCTACTTGGTTAGGAATGCGTTACTTTTGAAAGTAAAAGACTTGAATGTATAATACTGGAATGTAAAGCAATAAAGTGTAGGACTTAAGCAAGACATGTTGGAATTGCATTGCAATGAAAATATGAATTGTATTGAAATGCTGCTGTAGTTGTGTGTGTTGAACAGGCCTTTTACGTAACAATATAATGCCTTATTTATAGAATTATGAAACGACAGTTAACATAGTTTTGTGCAGTTCCATTGTTGACTTCAAATGCTTCCAAGTGGATTGGATAGATCTGCGCCATCTGTCCTATTGTTTTCTTCAATTTCTCTAAGCTTGCACGTGTCCAAAATCATGCAATCGTGCCTTTTATTGGAAATTGTGTTTTCAAATTAGCTACACCATTTGGTCTTAATGATGGCCACTACTCCTTCTTCGGATGGTGGTAGTGGTGGCCTAGAACATGTGACTAATAATGGCCATACAGTGGCTTTCAGAAGAACTATATTGCATGTTTTTAGGAGTTTTGAATTGTATGCGATAATACTCTCCAATTGGCTGACACGCTTCTTTTGACTTGGTCAGAATCCTTATACATGCATGGCTCTTCTTGTGGTGGACTCTCAGTATTTCCCAATTCTCAAAGTCCCTATCCCCATGGACTCCTTTAAATCCGTTATTAATTTTGCATGAAACAAACCTTTTATAACAAATGCCACATGTCTCCATCTAACTGGATTAGTTACTTTTAATATAACCAACAGCCACTTTTGATTGAAATTCTCTGAATTTGACCTTGATCCAAACTCCTTCCACGTGCCTGAAATTGGCTTGATCCAAACTCCTTCCACGTGTCAGTTAAATTATATCCCTTCAAATTTCTTGTGCAATTCAAAGTCTAGACCCTTGATAGCCATTTTGACATATTCTACTTCTAGAAGATCTACATGACACTTGTGCTTTGCCTTTCTAAATCTGGACAGTTTTGTTTATATAAATTCTCCTGGCAACTGGTTAAGTCTAGAAAGATTAGTCATGGAAACTTCTGGCTCAGTTCAATAGAAATGTGTATGAAAAATTTCTTCAAACTGACGCCAACTATTGATGGAATTTGCAGGCAAATTAGTGTACCATCTGAAGGCATACCCGATCAAAGTATTAGGAAACAACCGGACTTTGAGCCATAGATTGGCTCCTGCCTCGCCACATTGAACTGTAAATCGACTTATATGTTCTACGGTGGATTGGTCACCTTTGCCATTGAAAGTGGCAAATTTAGGAATTCTAAAATTCCTTAGACATTCAATTTCATCTACAAACTCAGGTTTTCCTATAGACAGGTCTTCCACCCCTTCTAGTGAGTCCAAATTCTTACTGAAAGAATTCTGCAACCTGGCCTTTATCCCACGTAACAGGTAACTGGAATTGTGGTTGGTGATTCTCCGGCCATCCTTGAGGTTGGTTGGCTATGGGTTGCCCTCCAAACATCATTGGACATGTGTTTGGGTTTGGTTTATTCCTCCAGCGACCTCTATTACTTCCTTGGTCAGGAGGATCCCTCGACAAGGTTTGCCTGTAATGTTTCTATTTTTTACCAATTTTCATTTTTTTGGAATTTTCTATTTTTGCGAGGGCATTTTTTTCTTTTCTCGTTTTGCGTATCGGACGCCGTGGGGTGTGCCGAGTGTGTCCGAGAGTTAGTTGGGGTATTTCATTAAGTTCAGGACTTCTTGAAATGCAAAGGTTGCCATCTCGGCATTTTTTTATTTTTCGGGCTAGACGGTCTTGGATGGGACCCGTTACCGGAATCGTTGTGTACGAGGATTTTATTTTGGGTCCATTGTATATCATGTACATTTATTTTGTGCATAATTTTGTTGTTTAAATGTTGTGTGTGGTTGTGATTTAAATGGAGCATCTATACATATATAAAGTAATGGTGAGAAATTTTCTAGTGGTGGGACCCACCACTTCATTGTTTAGTGGCGAAGAGGACATCTTTGGCCTCAATTTTTTTTTTTCCTCTCTCCCCGTAAAGCTCCCTCTCCCTCTCTTTTCTTCCCTTTTCTTTTTCTTTTCTTCACAAACTTCAATCTTCAATTACTCTCTCAATTATGTGAGTTTGTTGGTGCCGTTTGCAGCAAATCGGAGAGCTCGTTGAGATCTACACTATGATAGGAGCCAAGCACCACTTTGGCCAACCTTTGATTTTCGAAATTAGGGCACAAATTGGGAGTTTTTGCATTTTTGGAGGTAGGGATCTCAAATCCATACATTCTTAAACTTTTGTGAGTTAATTCTTGGTAATTGTTGCCTAACATGTTTAAATTGTGTTGATATTTTCCTTTAAATGATCTAATTATTGTGTGTGAAGTATATGAATATGTGTATTATTTGGTTTGTATGAAAGAGCATGCTTAAGTGGTTGTATCTCATGCCTATTATGTTTAATCCATTAGAAATTTCTATACGGAAGCATGTTGGTTTGCGTAGTATAAAATCTTCTATTGTCATGGCATTGGAAAGCATGATACATTCATGCATGACATTGAGCATGAAAAAGGGAAATTGATTTGAAATGAAAGAAAACGGGACTGTGGGAAAAATTTTGATAAAGGGTTTTGCGAAAACTCGGACGCCTGGGGGTCACCAAGGGTTCATGGCATTAATGTGACCTAGAGGGAATTAGCGAGATTGCCCTAACGTGGTTAAGTTATCTGAGCCCCAAATGACGCCATGGGGTTACCATGGGTCAGGGACAGTAACCAATCCTTCTCTCGTATATCTATGGGGTCATTATGGGATGGGTTGTGTTAACGGTTTGAAAAGTGATGAATGGAATGGATTTCGAAAGTGGGAGCAACATAGCATGGCATTGCATTCCATGGCACGACATTGTTACTTATGACCTTGAAATTGTACGGTATTCTCCCCGGCATAGCATGATTTCGTTCTCCCTATTTCTATTCATTTTTTAGATTCACGGGGTTGCAAGAGGTGTGTCTTAGGCACCACCTACTGAACAATTCCGCTCACACCTTTATATTTCATTTTTTCAGGTCATGGAAAGAAGGTGGTGGATGACAATCCACCACAAGCATGAGGAGATTAGGAGTATATTTTGTATTTTGAGCCATTTTTTTTTTTTTTTTTGTTGTTGTTGTAAAGCTTCACCTAGAAAATGTATTCAAATTGTGTAGTATGACCTTGTAATATAACTATGTGTTTTGACACCATCTTGATGTAAATTGGACTAAATGTAATGACCATGTATTATTTCTTACTTGAATGGGAAGGATGAAGTTGTATTGTATCAAAATGTTGAGATATATATATATATATATATATATATATATATATATATATATATAATCATGACATGTAGTATATTATGTTGCAGTGTTTTAAAACAGGTTTAGATTTGCTTTCAAGACTTCCACCCAAGCCATTGCACAATTTTTTTATTCTCAGCATTTCCAGTAGCTGAACCATAGCTCGTAGAGCTATTTCGGTCGACCGAAATGCCTATTTCTGCTGATTGAATCTTCCAGTAGCCTCAACCATTGTTTGGGTCACAACTGGATGACCGAAATGACCACTTCGGTTGACCGGTACAGGGGTGTTCACTTCGGCCGACTGAAGCTCCACTTCAATTGACCGAATTGTTGCTACTTGGGTGGCTTTTTTTTTTTTTTTTTTTTTTTTTTTTTTTTTTTTCAGGTATAATTCATTCTAAGTCATGGGAAGTCGCATAGAGCCTTTGTAAAGCATAATTATGACTTAAGAATGGTGTTTTGACACTAGAAATGATGGGTTTGACTTAGATGACCTCAGGTTTGGGTAAGGACCCGGTTAACGGTTCGGATCCAAGGGTTCTGGTCGTTACATTGCCCCCCGCCTGCCATAGGAAAAACTTGAGGCGGCCTTTGAGGAATGATAGGATGTGGCTGAGTATTTTGGTAAATTGTATTGGGTGAAAAGTACGGCTGATTTCTTGATTCACTAGTCTGAGCCGTACCATGACAAGACCCAAAATGATACAAAGTGTTAGTAAAATCATCAGACAAACGTGTTGAGGAACAACCACAGTAGCTAGATTCTACACATGCTGTGTCACTGGAATGGACATCGATTGTGCAGGTGGCATCTGTGCCGACTGGATCTGCGGCATGGTATGAATAGGTTGATGAGATGGATTCCATTTAACAAACGTACTTGGCCTGTTCACCGGACCGGCCGACTATTGAGTGCCTTCTAAATTGCTTGGCTTCTTGGCCAAGCTTTAAGATAACCCTACAAAAGACCGTTTAAGCATAGTTCCCAATCTGTTGGTCATTTGGTCCAATAGACGTTCTGTCTTTCGATCTTGTGCATAAGCGGCCTCTACCTGATCATAAGTATACTTTTCTTGATTATGGGCTATTAAGTGTATAGTATCTATGATAGGTCCGCTTGACATCGCTTCAATAAGATTCGTAACCAAATTTTCTTCTTCTTTAGGAATGACACGTGAACTGTCGACTGGAAGTTCACTAGCCTGCTCCCCTTCAACCTCGGCAAGATCTTGAACAGACTTGCCGTGTCTTTTT